CTACATGTTATAATATATGCATTCTTTTGTGGAATTTATCAAAAGAAAAAATATCTCAAAATATTATATACTTTAAATTTTTTTTTTTTTTTGCTTTCTGGATCACACACGGCGATGCACAGGGGTTACTCCTGGCTCTGCACTCAGGAATCACTCCTGGTAGTGCTCAGGGGATCATATGGGATGCTGGGAATCGAACCTGGGTCGACTGCGCACAAGGCAAATGTCCTAACCGCTGTGCTATCTCTCCAGCCCCCTACTTTAAAAATATTTTAACTTTAAATGAGATACACATCTGTGAAGAATACAAGCCAACTTGGGGGAATATGGCCTCCGAAGTGGGGGAGCCCAGGAGACCATTCCATTGATTCTCAATCAACAGGGCTAGTGGCTCAGTGATAGCACCAGAGGTGCTGATCAGGTCTTGTAGTGCTGAAGAGTACCTGGGCCACCCCAACAGCGCACAGGTCTCTCCAGGGATACACCTGACACTACTTGAGGTCTTAAAGGATTGCACCTGGCAATGATCAGGGAAAATCAAACCAAATGGTGCCAGGATTCAAATTGGAATCAGTCTCATTCATGTGAGACATGTGTCTTAATCCCATACTATGTCACTGCTTCAAAACTCTTTTTATTTATCTGTTTTAGGGCCACACTTGTTGGTGTTGAAGGCTACTCAAGAACCATACACAGTGCCAGGAATCCAATTAGGGTCAACTGTATGCAGGCAAGAAGCCTGACCCCCATACCATCTCTCTAGCAACAAAAAATTTAATTCTACTTGGAAAATAGTGGACATACACTTAGAAAGAAAATAGTTCATTATAACTTGGTCAAGTGATAAGCTATTGATTTGTTCTTCAACACAAGTTGTTGCGGTAGAGAGATAGTGTAGTGGGTAAGGTACTTGTCTTGTATGCATCAACTCGGGTTCCATCCCTGGAATTGCATATGTCTTCCAAGCCCCAGCAGAAATAATCTCTAGCACAGAGCCAGGAGTTAACCCTGAACACAGCAAGGTGTGGTAAAAAATTTTTTTTAAAAGAAAAAAAATAGCTGTTACACTTGGCTGTGGATGTAACTCAGAGGCAGAATGCTTGCCTGCTTGAATGAAGCCCTGGCACACAATACTACTGGGTTCCTGGCAGCACAAATATAAGGGGAAAGTGTGGCTGTGAAAGAGCATATGTCTAACATGTCCAGGGCCCTGAATTCAATCTTCTGTACTGAGGATTGGAGGCGTATCTGGGGTGGGGCACACCTGGCAGTGCTCAGGGCTTACTTCTGGTTCTGCACTACCTGCAGAGATAATTATTGGAGAGCTAATACAGGGGTGAAGGTATTTGCTTCGGTAACAGTTTATCTTGATTCATACCCAGCACCATGTATGGACCCCTAAACATAACCAGGAGTAAGAAAGCCAGGAGGAAACCCTGAGCACTGCTGAAGGTGACCCCAAAACCAAAAGAAAAACAAAGAAAAGAACAGAAAGCAGAAATGGAGGGAGAGAGAAAGGAAAGAGGGAAGGAAGGAAGGAAGGAAGGAAGGAAGGAAGGAAGGAAGGAAGGAAGGGAGATAAAAAAGGCATGAAGGAAGAGAGAGGTAGAGGGAAGGGGGAGAAAAACTTGTGACTCTTAGAAAAATACAAAGTTCTCCTGCCCTTAGTGCATCCTCAGAAAATATCATTTGTATGAATTATTTATCCTATTGTTAGTATATTACAGTTAAAACATACCATTCTCCATCAAGAGTTCTAGGCAAAAATAACAGAAAAAATCCTATAAAGTATCTAACAACGATTTCTAATATAAAGGTATAAAGACTCAAATGTTTTCAGAAAATTATGAAATTATAACATATGAATCTTCATCTAAATTTTCTATTAAAATATTCCCCCAATAAACATTAATTCCCAAAGACCTATATGGTGTATTAAACTAGGACAATTATTCTCTAAAATCTAGCTTGTTTGTTTGCTTTGGGGCCATACCCAACAGTGCTCAGGACTTACTCCTGGCTCTATGCTCAGGGATCACTCCTGATGGGCTCAAAAAACCATATGGGGTGCCAGGGATTGAACCTGGGTCTGCTGTGTACAAGGCAAATGCCGTACCTACTGTACTATCTCTCTGGCACTCTAAAATCAGTTTCTTGAACTACAGGTTGTGACCCATATTATCTTTTTAACATTTCCTTTAAAATTTATTTGTTTATGATTTATTCTTAGAAAATGTTCTTATTTATTTTCTCTCTGGCCTGGTATATCTATTTTATATACTTATATAAATATTGGGGTAATGTAAAAAATTCTTAGATCAAAGTGGGCCACAAGTGGAGAGAGTTTAAAAAGCTCTGCTCTATATTTTTGCAACATAAATCCTTCATCTTTTTATAGTATGTGTCAGTAATAAAAATTCTTTTAATTAGTCTGGGTTAAACTAAGTGTACAAGAAACAAGTACATTCCCATACGCATTTAGATTTAGCATAAAAGTTAAGTAAGATTTTACACCTAATTCTAAAATTGTTACCTTGTAAAACAATGTGTTGATTATTACCATATAGGTGAGTTCTTTAAAGAAGCCTACCGTGAGGTTGGAGCAATAGTACAATGAGTAGGGCATTTGCCTTGCATGCAAGTAACCAAGTTTGATCTCCAGCACCCCACATGAGCCCCCAAGTCATGTGAAGAATGATCCCTGAGTGAAAGCCAGGAGTAAGCCCTGAGCACTATCAAGTGTGGCACAGAATTAATAAAAAGAAAAGCCTACCCTGGGGACCAAGGATGTGACTCAGTAGATGTGTGAGACCCTGGGTTAATCCCCTGCACAATAATGATGATGGTGGTGATGATGATAATAATAAAGAAGCCCATACAGGAGTTTCTCTCTAGTGTATATGTCTACAGCTAACTGATCAGTTGACTACAGCAGAGAGAACAGGTCCTACTTCTCAGAGTACTGAGATAGGCATCAGTGTGTTTTTATAGTCTTGTTAACCAAAATCTTGTCTATTAGAAAAAAAGCTATTCTTGAGGTTTTGCAGAGGTAAAGAACATGACACGAACTACACATGTTCCTCCTGAACACCAACAGGAGTGATCCCTAGCTAGATGTAGACCCTTAGCCCCACTGGGGCCCAAATACCACCACCCTCAAAAACAGAAATGAAGAATATACAAAGCTAACACATTTCACAAAAAGAAGACCTTCAATTTTGCTGATGAGCATACAAAAAGATGCTCTTTTCATTACTCATTAGGGAAATGAAAATCAAGACCACAAAGACATATCACACTGTACACCCACCATAACAGCTAAAATCAAAAAGGTGGAAAATGCCAAGGGTTGGTGAGGATGTGGAGCAACCACAGCTCTCAGACATTGCTGATGAGTATACAATTTGACACAACCTTTTTGGAATATGGTTTGCAGTGTTAAAACTAGATATGTAAACATCCTTTCACCCACTTCTCGTCCTAGCAACACACTAGTTTCTACCAGAAATTTGTACATATTTTAAAATAGTACTATTGAAAGTCATTAAGTATATGAAAGTCAATAAGTACGTACATGAAAAAATGCTCTGCATCACTTATTATCAGGGAAACGCAAATCAAGACAACAATAAGATGTCACCTAACACCAGTGAGACTGGCACATATCACAAAGAACAAAAGAAAACCAGTGTTTGCAGGATGTGAAGGAAAATGGAACTCTCATCCACTCAAAACTAATACTGTATATTCTTTATTATTATCATTACCACCCTCATCCATTCAAAACTAAAAATTAAGCTTCCATAATAGCCCAGAAATTCCACTTCTGGAATCTACACCAAGGACCTAAAATTCTATTTAGAAAATATATTTGTGCTCCTATGTTTATTGCAGTACTACTGATAGCCAAAATCTGAACAAGTCAAGCATCCAAGAACAGATGACTATTAAAGAAACCTTGGTATGTGGAATCCTTCTCAGCTACAAGAAAAGATTAAATCATGCATTTTTTCACTATGTGAATGGAGCTGGAGGTTATCATGCTGAACAAAGTTAGCCAGAAGGAGGACAGAAACGAAATGACCACTCTCATATGTGGGATACACAGAAGCATAGTAAGGGAGCAACAAATGGCCAAAGGCAACAGAACCTGGAGAACTGGTCTACAGAACTGAGTTTACTACAGCAGGGAGCATGGGGGCTCAAGGGGCGAGGTAGGGTGGATCCTGAGACACTGATGGAGGGAAGCTGTCAGTCTGGTGGAGAGCATGGGGTTGGAAAATTTCATTCATGAAATCCTATTATTATCACTATTGTAAATTATAGTGACTAAAATAATTTGTAAATAGTAAATGTCTCAAATGCCCATCAACAGTAGAATGTATTACCTTTGAGAATGGTTTACACAATCTAACAAAAATTATGTGTGTGTGTGTGTGTGTGTGTGTGTGTGTGTGTGTGTGTGTGTGTGTGTAAAGTTGAGCCAAAGAAATGTTCACATTCTATGATTTCACACCTAGAATTTGTTTTTGTTTTTGTTTTGGTGCCACACCCGGCAGTGCTCAAGGTTACTCCTGGCTCTGCACTCAGGGATCACTACAGGTGGGTAGAGAGGAACATATGGGATGCTGGAGATCAAACCCAGGTTGATCCTGTGCAAGGCAAACATATTACCCACTTTACTATTGCTCTGGTTCCTGGAAAATTTTTTAACACTAAAAATGTTACTTACACTTGAAAGAAAGAAAATTCAAAGATTTCCAAATTCATAGGTATCTTGTATGAAGAAATATATCGGAAAGTCTTGATTTTTTTCTACTTATGTACCATTTCCTCTAACAAAGTAAACTTTCTTCTTGAAGTTAGTACTTTTTTAGAATAAATACTCCTTAAGGTAGGAGCTAGTTTTGTTTCATTCATTATACCTGGTATACCCACCAAACTCTGCTACTATGACAAGATTAGCAGAGGAACTAAATGTCAGCTGTGCTTAGATGAAGCTATGGAGGTTTAATAAAGCTTTTCCTTACGTGATTGTTGCATTCCTCTTCTTCCTCATCATAGTCTAAACCCTGGTGGGCAATCTTTGTAGTGCTGTTCTCCTGGAAGAGTTGGCTCCCAAAATCATATATTCTGGTGGCCTCAGTTGTGACTTTCACTTTCATGCTATGAAAGCCAGTAGAAACCAGTCCTACTTGCAGATTTAAGGGCTGCCCCTCAAATAGCAGGAAGTGTGAGTTAGGGTCTTCTTTAAAACCAGGGGGTTGATAATCACGTGGAGTCACTGCAAAATGAAAAGGAAAAAAAAATATGAGTTTTTAGAACCAGTCGAATTAATATTTCATGTGTAGCAAGGGATCTCTTTCAGGTGCCTCTAAAATGCTTCTATTTACATATAATATTTAACACTTAAAAAAGTAATTGAACAAGAGGTCTCTACCTACCTGCATTATAGTAGCGGAGTTTCATGGTAAGTATGACATCATTAGGAAGGGGTCCAAGATTCTGCATCAGCATATACAATTTACGGATCAGAAGAATACCGGCTTTCTTAGTATTTTCATTGTGTGTCCCACTTGCAAAGTTTATATCACTACTGCAATCATATCATAGAGAAAAACAGCTTATTTTCCAATTGTATGTAATGTTGAGAAACTATTCTGAGAGTAATAGTACAGCAGGTCAGGTGTTTGTCTTGCATATGGCTGACTTGAGTCCAATCCCTAGGACCCCATATGGTTTCCCTAGCCTGCTAGAATCAACCCCTGAGCACAGTCATGATTAACCTCTGAGCACTGCTGGGAGGAGCCCAAAAATTTACTATTATTTAATAATTGTACCAATATAATTGTTTTGTATTTGCACTGCTGCTACACTATGAAGAAATAAACACAAGTGTGCCCCTCAGACAAACCCCAAACATAAAACAAAATAAAAAACACAACCCAACTACAAAATAAAACAAAACAAAAAACAAAACAAAACAAAAAAAACAACCAAAAACTCTTTTATTATGGTAGCACTGTAGCACTGACACTGCTTTATTATGGTAAGGGTTTTTTAATTTTTTTTTTTCTTGAGGAGGTAGGATTGGTAGGGAAGTTACAAAGGCAAGACATATCTATAACCCCCAAAAGCTTTTCACCACAGTCCCACACATTTTTCATGTTCATTAAACAATCATGCACTACCTGTCAAAATCCATAGTGGCTCCTCCTTTTGCATATCTGAATTTGAACTGGTATATCTCAGTCACTTTCTAGAAGCATCAAAGTAAACAGAAAGTAATTGCTTTAAAAAAAAAAGAAAGAAAGAAATCCAGAGGGCTGGAAGCTCAAAGGGCTGGGAGCACATGCTTTTTTTTTTTTTTTTTTGCTTTTTGGGTCACACCTGGAGATGCTCGGGGGTTACTCCTAGCTCTGTATCAGGAATTCAGGAGTCTGAGGTTTTATTCTCATCTATACAATCCCACAAACACCACCTTATCAAATTAATGATTAAAGAACACTTTATTCTTTATTTAATCATTGGTTTACAATACTATACAATATTTAGGAGCACAGTTTCACACGTTGAACATATGTACTATAACATACCCACTACCAAAGTTCTAATACTATGCACTCACCACTACTGAATTGTGCTACCCTTGTTTCCATATTCCCTTCCCTTCTATTACTACCATTCTTTTCAGAGTCTGAGTTATTTGGGTGTTATTTCACTAGTTCATTTGTTTTATTTATTTCACATATGAGTGAAATCACCCAGTTTATTACTCTTTCAAAATTATTTCATTTAGGAACATTTTCATTGCATACTTGTTACACTTCCTACATAACTATTTGTTTCACAGTATTATATCAATCAACATGTTTTGATTTTTGTTTTCAGATTTTTGTGGTGCTCAGGAGGTACTCCCAGATCACTGTTCAGGGATCACTCTTGGCCATGCTCAGAGAACTAAGTGGTGCCAGAAGCATATCCAGGTCTATCATATGCAAAACACATACCCTAGCCCTTTGCACTCCCTTCAGCCCCTACAACATAGTAAATATCTAATTTGTGCCAGATACTAGAGTCATAGTGGTGACAATGAAAGAAAAGGTTGCTGTTTTCCTAAAATATACAAGCTGGTAGGAAAGACAATCAATGAATATGCAGACAAATAAAAAGAGAACTTAAGGTAGTAGGAAGTGTTGTGAGCAGTATGAAGCAGATGCTCTGATATAGTATAGAAAGGAATAGTGCAGTTAGTTGATAATATATATATATATATATATATATATATATATATATATACAGATCCAGAGAGATAGTATATGGGTTAAGTATTTTGCCTTGCATGCAGCTGACCCCAGTTCTATTCTTGAAACCACATATGGTATCTTGTGGTATAAACACTGAACACAAAGCCAGGAGTAAGCCCTGAGCACTGTCAGTTGTAGCCCCAAACCCAAAATAAATAAACAAAAATTGACTGTTCAATTAAAAATTAAGAATGGTTGAAGTTTATAATAAAACACATTGAAAAATCTCACTATAAGTTTTGTCTATTTTAACATAATATTAACAAATTAACATAATCAATAACCTCTACTCAGATATATTTAATACATATACTTAAATATAATATGTTTATGCTGTCTATACCTATGTTATCTTACCTCTGGTTCCTTGGGATTTGTGTAAAGCTGTTTTAAAAAATAGCATTTAGTTTTGAAACTTACACATTACTCCTCACAGAATACATTTTCTATAAGAAGAAGTCAGTTTGAATTGTGTTGAGTAGTATGTTAGTATTAACATGCTTCTATTTCAATATACCAATAAATAATATTATATATCAGTGTATTTAAAAGCCAATGGCATCCCCTCATTTTCTATCTTTAACTACATATACTAAAAGAATCCAAGACTCCATTGAGTACAGTGGGTAAGGAGCTTGCCTTGCAAAGGATCAACCCGGGCTCTATCCTTAGCATCCCATATGGTTCCCTAAAACCACTAAGAGTGACTCCTGACTGCAGAGCCAGGAGCAACCTCTGAACATTGTCACATATGGTTCAAAAACAAAAAAGAAAACAAGACACACACAAAAAAATCTACATTAGAACCAAAAATTTTGAATCTGTAAAGTAACTCAAGAAATGGCAGTTTGGGGATGGAGATGGAGTAGAGCACGTGCTCGGCATGAAGAAGCCCTGGTTTGGTTCCTGGCAAACCAAATGTGGTATCCCAAGAACTTCCAGGAGTACTCAGGAGAAAGAAGGAAGGAAAGAATGGAAAGGAAAGAAAAGGAAGGAAGGAAGGAAGGGAGGGAGGGAGGGAGGGAGGGAGGGAGAAAGGGAGGGAGGGAAGGAGCAAAGGAGGGATGATGGAAGAAAGCAAAAAAAGAAAGGAAGAAAAAAAGAAAAATGGAAGGAAGAAGGAATAGAAGAAAGGAAGGAAGGGAGGGAGGGAGGGAGGGAGGGAGGGAGGGAGAAAGAGAGAGAAAGGAAGAAAGAAAAAGAAAAAAGAAAGAAGGAAGGAAGGAAGGAAGGAAGGAAGGAAGGAAAGATGTTTTGATCTGCATCTTCCTGATGATTAGTGATGAAGAGCATTTTTTCATGTGCCTTTTAGCCATTCGTATTTCTTCTGAGAAAGTTTATATTCATTTCATCACCCCGTTTTCTGATGGGGATGGATATTTTCTTCTTGCAGAGTTCAACCAGTAGCTTATATATCCTTGATATCAACCCCTTGTCCAATGGGTATTGGATGAATATAATTTCCCATTCTGTAATTTGTCTTTGTATTTTGGTCACTGTATCTTTTGTGGTACAGAAGCTTCTTCATTTAAGATAGTCCCATTGGTTTATCTCTGTTTCCACTTGGTTGGTCAGTGGAGTGTCATCTTTGAAGATACCGCTAGCCTCAATATTGTGGAGGGTTTTGCCGACCTTGTCTTCAATGTACCTTATGGATTCCGGCCTGATGTTGAGATCTTTAATCCATTTTGATCTGACTTTTGTGCATGGTGTTAGGTCGAGGTTTAAGCCCATTTTTTTTCACACCACAGAGACTGACACACAAAAGCAACCAGTATTGGTATGGATGTGGGGAGAAAGGGACCCTCCTACACTGCTGGTGCGAATGCAGATTGGTTCAGCCCTTTTGGAAAACAATATGGACGCTTCTCAAAAAATTAGGAATTGAGCTCTCATTTGACCCAGCAACACCACTTCTGGGAATATATTCCAGAGAGGCAAAAATATATATAGTCGAAGTGATATCTGCACTTGTTTGTTCATTGCAGCACTGTTTACAATAGCCAGAATCTGGAAAAAACCCTAGTGCCGGAGAACCGATAACTGGTTAAAGAAACTTTGGTACATCTACACAATGGAATACTATGTAGCTGTTAGAAAAGATGAAGCCATGAAATTTACATACAAGTGGTTCTACATGGAAAGTATCATGCTAAGTGAAATGAGGCAGAAAGAAAGTGACAGACATAGAAAGATTGTATTCATCTGTGGAATATAAAGTAACAGAATACAAGACTAACACCCAAGAATAATTAAGATAAGTACCAGGAGGTTCGCTCCAGGGCTTGGAGGCCAGCCGTACATGCTGAGGGGAAAAGCAGCTCAGATAGAGAAGGGAACACCAAGTAAAGGATGTTGGGAGGATCCATCCAGGATGGGAGATGCATGCTGAAAGTAGACTATAGACCGAACATGATTGCCACTCAATACCTCTACTGCAAACTACAACACCCAAAAGGAAAGAGAGAACAAATGGGAATGCCCTGCCACAGAGGAGGGGTGGGACAGGGGGTGGGTGGGAGGGATACTGGGATCATTGGTGGTGGAGAATGGGCACTGGTGGAGGGATGGGTACTCGATCATTGTATAACTGAAACCCAAGCACAAAATTTCGTAAGTCTACAACTGTACCTCATGGTTTTTCACTAATAATAAAAATAAAGACATTCTCTATTTATGTATAAGAAAATCTCAGGCTAAGAATATGTTGATTCTTGCAGGTTAAATTAAGAAAGAAAGAAAGAAAGAAAGAAAGAAAGAAAGAAAGAAAGAGAGAGAGAGAGAGAGAGGAAGGAAGGAAGGAAGGAAGGAAGGAAGGAAGGAAGGAAGGAAGGAAGGAAGGAAGGTTACAAGTTAATTCTTGGGCTGGGGAGAAAACTCAGTGATCAGGGGTGCATGCCTCACATAAACAGGGAACTGAGTTCAGTCCCCACAATGGATGGGCCCCCAAATACTGCCAGGTTGCAGCTCTGGAGAACAACAAAAGGTTTGCCCTGGTGCACCCCAGTATTCCAGACTGAGCAGTATCGCATCACCAGGTCCTAGCAATGAACTTTCAGGCCCAATTGGCCAATATTGCCACGTGGTGCCCAGGGACCTGAGCATTACTTAGAAGACTGCTCCCCAAAATGAAGTTCTGATAGCTAATTGATGTAATAGATATACTATTATATATATATGTCTTTGTATTGTAGTATGTCAATGACATATATAGTTTCTGCTCTTTTATTAAAACCCTAAATAGATTTTATTACTTTAATCACAAATATTCAAGGAACAAATAAATTCAGGGAGGATACAAGAAAGTACTGATTTAATATTTGCTTGCCTACAGATAAAAAACGTAGGGCAGAAATGGAATCAACTGTTTACTTACTGTAAGTACTGCCATGTGTAGCTTCAAGAGAAAGGAAAAACTTTTGTTATTATATACCCATAGCAATATAATTATTTTCAGTGTAGTCTAATTAAAATGATTATACAGTTTCCAAAGATTTATGTAGAAAAGTATTATACAGATAGACAGAAAAAGGAGTACAAATTTTTAATTCATTGGATCAGTAAGATAACTCAAAGGGTTATTAGACTACATGCTTTTGCAGGATACCCAGGTTCAATCCCTAGCATTACACATTCCTCCAAACACTGTAATCCCTGAGCAGTAAGCTAAACGTTACCCCCTGAGTTACTGGGAATAGCCCAAATAACAAGCAAATAAAAAACAAAACAAAATTTTCATTCATTCAAGTACCTATTACATGCCTAGGGAGATACAGGATGTGAAAAAAGAAGATAACTATCCTTACTCTTTAAGTCATATTCTCATTTGGAATACAAAATATACACAAAATAATTCATTATTATTAATAAAAATTGAACATGCTACATATTCTTTTCACATTGCCTTTTGAAACTAATCTATTAAAAGAAAAAAAAGAAATCTGATAGAAATCATTAAACCTTGTGCTCCATATATACATATTTCTATAAGAAAATTATTTTTATTGAGATTAATTATATATATTTAAGCATTTTTATGATAGATTTTTAGAAAGAAATACAAATAAGATATTTCCAAAACCATAATTTCACATCAGTCACCTTTTTCAACTAAAGGACTAAATCAGTAGTGACACTGTGTGGTTATTTTTGTTACTGCAGATAGTTATTTTAAGTACACAGTGAAACTCGAATTTATATTGTTTGCACACTCATTACTTCATTCAGCATTCAAAATTTTTGGCTCCTTGATCTCAGGAAACATACAGAATACCAGGGGAGAAAGCACAAAATTAAAGAAAAAACACATTGCTAATTGCTGTGAATATATAATACAGAATGCATGTGATCATTCACCAGAGAATAATCTAGGTTGAGGGAGGAAACATGCCAGGGAAGGCCCTCCTGAGGAAGTAATAATTTGAGCTTAGTTCTGAAATTGGAGTTAGACAGGTAAGAGGGCTAGTTCAGGATAAAGAATTTTTCAGGCAAACAAATAATATATACAAAGATAAAAGGCACTTGGACTATTCTGAATCCTTATGTTTCTTGGCATAGTGAGAGTGATCTCTTATAAATACATCTGGGGACTAGATCAAATCATATAGAATTTTCACATAAAGAACTTAAACTTTATTTTTTAAATCCAGAAAAGATTTTTAAGCAAAATAATCGCAAAATGAGAAATAGGTCTCTGAAAGAATACAATGTGGACAATGGGTTGGAGTTGTAATAGATTGGGAATGGGAATCAGGAGACAAGTTAGGAGGTTATTTACAATGTTTTTGTACAATGACTATCAGAAGTATATATTAATGCTTAAAGAGTTCAAGCATACTAAAAATACAGTGTAAAAACCACTCAAAATTTCACAACTAGAAATAGAACCATGATCTTCAATGGAAGATATTATTAAAGATCTCTAGATATTCAAAGGACTTTCCTCAATTTTAAAAACATTGGCTATTCCCTACTAGTAATGAGAACACCCTAAAAGAAAAGTTATGTTAACAACTGAAAATTTAAATACTATTTAGGGTCTAAGTCATTTAAGATATTGTCTTTCAAAAACAGTAAATTGATTCAGCATATATGTAGTCATTTAAGTAACATAAGTCCATGAAACTTGGTAAATAACCCCCTTTACATTATACTGTTATTGTAGTAATGCAATTTATTTAAGAAGTGACTCTATTAAACTGTAACCTTCTTGAGGGACCTTCGAATCTTTAGCTTATTTTTATCTCATAGAGAACCTAAGCATTATTTCTGTTAAAGATTAAACATGAAAGAAAGAAAGCAGGAAGAGGGAGAGCAAAAGAAGGGAAGACATGAGAAAAAAAAGACCAAAACATTAACACTTATATATTCCTTATTATGTGCCAGGAATAGCTATAAACATTTTAGACAAACAATTCTCAAAGTTTGGTCCTTAGAGCATCAGTCTTTCACCTGGAATTTGTCCAAAATGTAAATTCTCACTTAAGAAATTTTGGGATGAAGCCTGTCAATGTGTGTTTCAACAAGTCTTCCAGTTGATTTTAATACAAGCTAATGTTAAAAATCACTGTTCTACATGCCTAGTTCATTTAACTCTCAAACAAAAAAGGAAACATTATTATTACTGCTATTATTATTTCTATTTTACATATAAATAATCTAAGATGTAAATTGTTTTTTCCAAAGGTCATATAGGTATAAAAAGGCAGAAGTTGGATTTACTTTAGTTTGATTCCAGAAGTTTATTCTTCAGTGTATTACGGTGTCCCTTAAAGATAGTTTATTAGAAAATGTTGCTAAACAAATGAATGAGGGCAGGGAGATAGTTCAGTGGGTTCAGGTACATACTTTGCAGGCCAGAGGTCTGAATTCAATTCTACGTACCACTTGGTGCCTGTAGGTACCACCTTTAAAGAGTAGGCCCTGAGCACAGATGGTTGTGGTTCCTAAATAAAAGTACCCCCAACAACAACAACAACAACAAAATGGATTAAGGAGAATGAGTGAAAACTAGTGTATGATCAGTTTAGAACACTTCTCCCCCGTTTAACCAATCTTAAATGTTAAGGGCCTTCGAAGCTCAAAAGTCACTTTCTCTGAAACATTTCTCTGATAATTCTCCTTTCCCACATTTCTCATTGCACCACTATTTGACATACAACACTTTCTAATGGATATTTACTTATACTTAGGATGAAAGTGATAGTCAAAATATCTGTTGTCATATACACCTAACAAAACTGATACAGTACAGATACTAAGTGAAATAATGGCAAGCTAGTTCTAAAGCTATGTTCATGGAAGCTCCCCTGGACCATGTGTTAACTCTTTAGTTGCTAGATTAGAGAGAGATGTTAGGAGATTGCAAGAGACATACTGGTGGCATGAGACGGAAGTTTGGGGCTCAATGGGAGTCTCACAGAAGTACTCTCACAGTGCTCAGTGCTGCTAAGCGCTTACTCCTGGCTCTGCAATCAGGGATCACTCCTGGTGAGGCTCAGGGGACCATATGTAGTGTTATGGATCAAAACTGGGTTGGCTCCATGCAAAGCAAATCCCTACCTGCTATATTATTGCTCTGCCCCCTTAAATTTTTGACAAGTAAGGCTGGGCCAGTGGGTAACTGCGCTTAAACTCTCCATATAAATATCATTAAATCTCTTCCATGCCCTATAAACTCTTTGTGTATACCATCCCATTTATATTTTGGTTTCATAGCCCTCAGTTTCCCATATCAGTGTTGAATAAGTCATAAGGGAAAAAATGTTTAATGAGAAAAGTAATGTATGAATATACCAAATAATCCAATGTGAGGATTACGCACCTCGAGTTCTAAAGGAATAGAAAATTGGGAAGGAGTAAAAAGGCTTAGACAAGATAAGTGGGGGAAGCAGTAATAGAAATTTCATTATATACATCTTTATTTTTTCAATTAGAACTAGAGAAAAAAATTGATATGCCCTTCATAGCTGTCTTGGGTTGCAAGAAATATCAGATTAAGTTAAAACCCAAGTTGTCTTTTTTAAAAAATTCAAACTACAACACAATCTGTATTGAAGAAACAAGTTGTATACTAAAAATAATTTTAAAATCAGATAAATAAAAACTGATTACTCAAGTCTATTTTTCCCTTTCGTAACTACAACTGAATTGTCACTATCATTGAATATGTTGAAAATGCTAAGTTCTAGATTATTGTCTCCCCATCCCACATCCTGTGGATCTCTTCCAGAAACTTCAGAGGAAATACTGTGGTCAGAAAGATATGAGTAAGAAAAAGAAAAATGAGGGCTTCATTTATAATTGATGTAAGTAAGATATCAATAAGACAATATTAGTTGTAAAGTTAGTTCATGGACACAAATGTAGGCACTAGTACACTCTTAAAATATAGCAACAAAAATAGTTAAAATTTTTTTATAAAGGGATAAAAGATCCTAGTGTAAATTTTATAATATTCTTACATAATTCTTCTCCAAAGCATCAAAACAACCTTTAATCCTGAAAAGAAATAATGGTAATGTCAATCTTGGACCAAGCATAGCCAAAAAATTCTAAATACAAGGTTGATTTATTCTTTTTAATTTGAAAATTGATATTTTACCTTTTCCATTCATTTTTTTTAAACTCCCAACATTCTCTTGATAGAACTTTTAAAGTAATAAAATAGCAATTTTGAGATAGAGAAGTAACTCTTATTTTTATTTCTGGCTTCTCTGATACATAGAAGATTATCATGTCTGTGAAAAGTAATCAAACTTTCAAAATGATTGACATGTTTCTTTATACAAGTCTATTTAAAAAAAAAAAAAAAAGAAAACCACTAAGGCCCAGTGAGATAGCTCAGTTGACTGAGCACATGCTTTGCATACAGGAGATCCAGGCTCAATTTTGGGTACATATGGTACCCAAGCATCATCAAGAGTGACCCTGGGCACAGAGTTGGAAGTAACTCCTGAGAATTTCACGGTATGCCCCAAACAAATTAGTACATAAAACTTAATAATATTTTTTTTAAAAAATAAGATATTTGCTGTAAATTTCTAGGGAACTTTATTTTATTTTATTTTTTTAAGATGAAAGAAGGAGGGAAAAATGTCTTTTAAGGAAATAATCTTGTTAAAGTGTTAGGGTTAATTTCAATCATGCTAAAACAACATTATACACCTTTTTTTTTGTTTGCTTTTTAGGCCACACCTGGCTGTGCTCAGGAGTTATTCCTGGCTTTGTGTTCAGGAATCACTCCTGGTAGTGCTCAGGGCATATAGAACCAGATTGGGTACATACAAAGTAAACACCTTACCTACTGTACTCTCCAGCCCAATCTTGTAAAACTTGTGTGAAGTTTTAGTTACTTACCATTTGATAATATGCAGTGAGCCAGGGCATTTTTTATCATCTTGGAGGATTTTTATATTGAGGCCTACAAAACAGAAAGACAGTATATTTTCATTTATTAAATGACTGCTATCCCAAAATTGCTCATGCTAATTAAGAATATTTCTTTAGCTCTTTTATTTATAAAACCTATTTAGTTTTATAATATAAAAATTTACAATATCTAAGTATCTTCTAAATCACAGGTTGATTCAATCTGATTTTGATTAAAGTATATAGTTTCTTCCTTTACGGCACAACTGAGTTGCTGCAAAATCAATACATATCATTTATTTGCTTCTATTGAATTCTCTGTAATCATAAGATCACTGAGGTCATTCTCTCTAAATTTAAGACAGAAACCTTAATCTTAAATTCTTTTTCTGTTATCTTTCGCTCTCAATGAAAAGAGATGAAAATCTTTTTTAAAAATTATAGAAAATATTAATTTCCATCTGGAATTTTAGTATCCTGTAAAGATAGAGTAGTATGAAAGAAAGAAAGAGTAGTATGAGTTTTTCATTCATATAAATCTAAAAGTAACCAATGATACATATATGACTTTGCCTAAGTCACATAATTCTTCCAATATTGCTTCCTATCCTAAAATCAATTTCACCTCTCCTTTACAGAAGGATAGAAATTATTTTCTATGTTGCTATTACATTCAAATACTATCAAAAAGGGTGTTAAGCAGATAAGAGTTTTGTGCATTTTTGAGCAAGTAAGAATAGTAAACACGTAACACAGTTATGTGAACATTTTGTGTACAAATAAAACCAAATATAAAGGAGTTGAGTGACCTGGCCCCAGGGCAGAGCCTGGAGGAGCCCAGAAAACTCCCAAGTACTGCTTCATGTGGTCCTGATAGCCCCCTAGTACCACAGAGGTGGTCTTTGTGACCCCTAGCATTTCTGAGCCCAAGCAGCATTGCATTGTATTAGGCCCAGTCATCTGATTTTTAGACTGACTGACCCTTAGGAGTAATAGTGGAACTTGCCCTTTGCAGTTATATGAACTTTGAGAGGGAAAAGCCAGAGAAATAGTACAGTGGATAGGGTGCTTGTCCTGCACGCGCAGACGTGGGTTCAGTCCTTCCTTCCCATATTGTCCCCTGAGCACCACCAGGAACGGTCTCTGAGTGCAGAGTCAGGAGTTACCACTGAGAATTGCTGGATGTGGCACAAATAACAATTTTTTAAAAATAATTAATTTTTAAAACACTGAGAGGGAGACAAAAACTTCCATTAAAAAAAAACTGTCTCCAAAAATGAAGCTAGAAAGAATCTCTCTCCTGAGGCTAAGGGAATAAACAGCACACAATGAGTGCTTAATTACCTCAAACATGTTTTTGTTTGTTTTCTTTTGTGAGGAGGTCACACTTGGGCTTGAGTTACTCCTGATTCTGGGTCCAGGAGTCACTCCAGTGGTGTTTGAAAGGATTATGTGGTACTGGGAATTGAACCCAGACTTCACATATCCAAGGCAAGTGCTCTAACACTGAATTTTATCTCTAGTCTACTAACGCCTCTTTTTCTTTTCTTTTTCTTTTTTTATTCTTTCTTTTTTTGGCGGGGAGAGGGGCTGGGGAGGTGATGCAGCATACCTGGCTATGCTCAGGGCTTACTCCTGGCTCTATGCTCAGGGAACTATATGTGGTGACAGGGATCAAATCAGGGTTGGCCACATGCAAAGCAAGTGACCTAACTTTCTAAGCAAAGCATGTCTTTTTTAAATTCTATGTTCCTTCCAAACAAAAGGAGAAATGGCACTTATATGCTACAAATAAACATAGTCAGCACTGCAGGTTTAATACTATAAATCAAAAAAGGATATAATACAAAAGATGTTGTCAAGATTGTAAAATACCATGCTTTAGAAATCTACTGTTGCTTAAGAAAATAAAATTATAAGTCAGAAAAACAGAATAGTGGATAGGGTGTTTGCATTGTACAACACAGTAAGGTTCAATCCCCGGCATCCCATATGGTCCCCTGAGCACCACCAGGAGTAATTCCTGAGTGCAGAGCCAGGAGTAACTCCTGAGCACCACCAGGTATAGCCCAAAAACAAAAAAGAAAAGAAAAGAAAAAAATGAGACCAAAACTAAGATGTGTCATTAAATGCAGATGTGAGAAATTATAATAAGGTACAATTTTGAAAAATAACATTTTACAGAGAAGCTTGTAGCTCTTCATATTTAATTTACAAGTGCTGCTTCCTACTTTATTAACAAATCAACAAAATTTTTGAAAAATTGCTAAGTTCTAATATAAGAGGAGGAAAGGAACCAGAAAGGATAAGGCAATGAGATCATAAGTTTAAAGACACTAGAAACAAAAAAAAGGAAAGAAGACCCATGACCTGAAAAAAAGAACTATGCTGATAAGAATAATAATTGTTTGATATCCAGGCTAATCAACAAATGTGTTTGGCACATTTTTTCCAGTACTTTTCATAGAATATGTATATGTGTTAACCGAAATAGTTGATGTTTTTTTCTAGCCTGACTGCATAGAACTTACTCAATGTTAAATTATACCTCAAAAAAGTCAAAATCCAATTGAATACAGAATCTACATCCAGATATATTTTGACCTGGCTGCTTCTTTTACAGATATAGTTTAGAATTACTGAGTTTGTTCACACATATTTTTTCCCTTAGTCTGTCATTTGGTATCTATTCAAGAACTACTGGTTCCCATAGGCAAAACCACCTATGCATAGTGAAATTAAAATGAGAAAGGAATTAACAAATGGACCTAGATGAGCAAGTTTCATAACATAATTATCACATCTTGTGAGATATAAAAGGTTTATTTCTACCAAATATAGAAAAGTACTACAACAGTTAAAGCAACCATTCAGTTAAATTTTACCATCCAAATGGCGTTCTCCATAAGAGCTCTCTGGAAACAAGCCCCTTAGATATGTTATACATGAGATAGAAGTAGCAAAAAGTTTCTTCACCATAATCAATGATTCATGCTCATTACTGACTTGAGATGGAAAAACAGTGTCCTAGGGGGGTAAATGAATAAAGTTAGAATTATTTAATGTATTCAGTCCTTGATACATTCAGCCTAATTCCACAGACATAATGGAAATACCTTATTGAAGACCTAAAATCTAAAACCTTGACAGGTAATTAAAAGGGTTAGACAAATGAACCAATATCTATTCTGATCATCCAGTCTAGAGTTGAATCATCTTTGACTTCTCTCCCTCATTAGTAGCCCATATGCAATCACTAAATCCTACTAATTCTAAAAGCATTCTTAAATATGTTTTCTCATTTCCCTTCTGAGTCGGACAGACCTAATTCAAGAAAACTCATTTCTCCCTTGTAGCCCCTGACTTCATTACTGAAAGCTCCTCTCATTCAATCTATTCTTTATAATCATAGTTCACTTTAAAGAAGATAAATTTTATCAAAAGATTCTTTGTGTTCATACAAAATAGCTAAAATAATTTTGTGTAAAATTTAAGGACTGTCTTTTCTTTGCTTCGCTCACCTACCTCACCTCCGACCCTTTCCTCTCTGCCATTAGTTCCAAATCCTCCTACACACCCTGCTCTCTACCCATGTGAAACCACTGTTCATCTGTTATTTTATTACCATGCATTTCCACAACTCTGTGTTTTAGTTAAGCTAGAATTGTGGGGGCCAAAGAAGTAGTACAGCAGTTAAGGCACTTACATGGCATATAGCTGACCTCATCACCGCATTTGCACTTCTGAGCACTGCCAGGTGTGATCCCTGAGCACAGAACAAGGCGTAAGTCCTGAGCACTACTGAATGTGCCGCACACTGCACCTTCCCCCAAAAATTGAGCTAAAATTTTGACAAATAGTAAGGTTTTATAAGATTATTTTATCAATATTTTTATAATTTTATAAATATGAATAGTGATTTCCTTCTGAAGCTTAGATGTATGTACATGTATGTATATTCTTAAACAATTGCATAATCTGCCTTGAATAGTGTGGCATATGAGAATGACAGATGCATTAATTTTAATTCATTACATAAGAAGTGTTTATTGGGGCCTGAGAGATAGTACAACAGGCAGGGTTCTTACCTTGCCCATGACTGACCTGGGTCCAATCCCTGGCACCTCATATGGTCCCCTGGGCCCACCAGAAGTGATCCCTGAGTGCAAAGCCAGGAGTAAGCCCTGTGCACTTCTGGGTGTGGCCCCAAAACTAAAACAAAACACACAAGCAAAAAGAAGGGTCTACTAACAGTCATCTTGCATACAGAATATTTGCTAGCATGGGAGATTGTTTAAAGGGCTGAAATGCATGGTTTCCTTCTGAAGTCCCAGATTTTTTTTGCATGTAGGAGTACTGCTATTTATTCAAAGTTTTTTCTTCCTTTGTTGGGGTCACACCCAGCAATGCTCAGGGGTTATTCCTGGCTCTGCACTCAGGAAATATTCAGGAAATACTACTGGTGGTGCTTAGGAACAATGTGGGATGCTGGGGATCAAACCTGGGTCAGCCATGTGCAAGACAAACACCCTACACGCTGTACTATTGCTCTGTCACTGAAATCCCAGATTTGAGTACCCCTGGGTGTGGATCAAAAACAAAAACCGTATTATTTGCACATGGATAGTTTATATTGGGGATCATGAGTTATAATTTCAACGTGTTTGTCATAGCAGTCCATGTTTATTATATATATCGTAAACACAAAAATAAAAATGTTATCATGGTTCCAGAATTAACTAATCTATAAGATTACTTTTTTTTATAATCCTAGCACAAAATGTCTCATAAACTCTAGATGGTGTATAATGTTGATACATTATATTTTTATTTTTACTTATTTTGGGGTCTCCCAAGAGTTAGAGGCCTGGGAACACTTCACACAATTCTTGGCCAAAGTGGTTCAATGCTTTGACCGAGGTTACAGTGCTGCTTGGGCCCTGTAGTGCCAGGGATCACACAGGCCACTGTGGCAAGTGATTGGAGGACTCCAGAGCTATACAAGTGGTGCTCAGGGGACCATATAGTGGTGCTCAGGGGACCATATAGTACCAGGGATTAAATTAGGGCTGCTCTCATGATAATCCCTGTTCTATCTCTTTGGTCCAGATACATTAAAATCTTAAAGTATTTTCCAAATATTGGTGAAACTTTTAAACTTATGAGCTACTGTTCATTAATATACTCTTCAGAGCAATAAGAAAATTCAAGCATGGAAGGCAGTTGCAATACATGCTTAACAAAGGACTCATCAAGAATGTATAATGAACCCCTAAAATTCACTGAGTAAAAAATAAGCAACTGAGATGTCCCACCACCACCACCACGTAAGCTCATCTACCAGTCCTGTTCAAGAGGCTCAAAAATAAATCTCAAGAGAGAATTGCAAGCTGCAAAAAATTTTCAGTTACCCAGTTCTGGCTAAGACCTCCAATGTGATCTCGGGACAGGGTTGGGCCAAGTTCCTGTCCTACCAAAGCCCCAAAAGCTGCTGTCATGCCACCAGCCAGACTGCCCAGTTAAATATTCTAGATATTTCTGGAGCGTGTTGCCATATTCATGACTGTGCAACATCTCCAACTCTACCACACTAACATACCAGAAGTACTGAGCACATCAGGTTGGATTGGAATGTAACATAGTAGTTGGTAGTTATTGGTAGTTCATCTCAACTACCAAAAACATTAATACAGAAGGTTTAACTGGCACCTGAGTTATCCCTGAGCACCAAGCTGGAAATGGCACCCAAGCATAGCCTGGTAGCACTGTAGCACTGTCCTCCCATTGTTCATCGATTTGCAAGAGCTGGCACCAGTAACATCTCCATTGTGAGACTTGTTGTTACTGTCTTTGGCATATCGAATACATCATGGGTAGTTTGCCAGGCTTTGCTGTACGGGTGAGATACTCTTGGTAGCTTGCCAGGCTCTCTGAGAGGAGAATCAAAACTGGGTCAGCTCTGTGCAAGGCAAACGCCCTACCTGCTATGCTATAGCTCCAGCCCAGCCTGGTATAAAGATAAATTAATAAAAATTAAACTATAGGTGTTAGTCTCCCATTTTGTTGCTTTATGTTCCCCAGATGAATGCAATCTTTCTGTGTCTATCCCGCTCTCTCCGACTCATTTCGCTTAACATGATACTGATGCTGGGAACTGTGGTGGTGGAGGATGGGCACTGGTGGAGGGATGGGTACTTGATCATTGTATAACTAAAACCCAAGCACAAAAATTTATAAGTCTATAACTGTACCTCATGGTGTTTCACTAATAAAAAATTTTTTAAAAATTAAACTATAGGGACACAGAAGAAGATTCAGATTACAGGGTCCTTAAAATGCTTGCCTAATAATTTCAAGACTGAGTTCATGGGATCAGAGCAATAGTACAATGGGTAGGGCATTTGCCTTGCACTGGGTCAACCTGGGTTTGATCCCCAGCATCCCATATGGTCTCCGGTCCTCTGAGCATGACCAGGAGTAATTCATGAGTGCAGAGCCAGGGATAATCACTGAGCATAGTCAGGTGCATATGATTGTAACAAAAAACAATAATAAAAGCAAAAAAAAAGACTCTGATTTCAAATCTTGGTGCTATTTGCACTAGCAAATACTCTGCTGTTTAAAATCCCTGGTATACAAGACAGATATTTTAAAAAGAAAAATAATGTTTCTAGAATTTTGTTGCTTCTCTATACTCAGTTATTTCTCTTTTTCATTTCAGCTAGTCTAATTCTTTGAGTTACCCTTTTTTTTTTATAAATGTTCAATTCATGAAAATACCATGACGTGTTAATAGAAATACCATTGTAAATTATTTTAATAAGACAGGGTGCTAATGACAAAAGATATTTGACAGCTTTGCTGTCAAGTCATATGATCATAGGCAAATTACTTCTGTGCTTCAATTTATTCCTTATTGCAAAATACAATTGAAATAATAACATAAAGCCCTTGGTACAGTGCCAAGGACATAGTAAGTTTGCTTACTCAGCTTCTACTGTTATTATCTTTGTCTTTTAAAGTATTAAATAGAAAAAAATCATATGGTCACTTAAAATTTGTTAGGAGAAATAGCTCATGTAGTTCACCTACAAAGATTTGTTGATATTGAAAGGTCAATTTGTTAAATTATAGAGAGAAAAAGAACCACCAAGTTGGTGGCAGTTCATATACCCAGCTCAGCACTTTCTTCTCCCCACTCCTCATCGCAGAAAGCAAGCACTTAGGAAACCAAAGACGATCAGGAATCTCCTTGGTGAATATATGTGATTCAAGCCAGAAAGATGACTGCTTTCTCTCTGCCCTAATATTTCTCCTTCAACTTTAATCTTTCCTGTTCCAGCTACAGTTTAATATTCCTAAAACAATTATTTTACTTACTATCCTGATCAAATCCACTTTCTATTGATTGCAGAATAAAGCATAAATTCCTTAGCCTGGTTTTTAAGATCCATATAAATTTACTTCTAAAGTTCTTGTTTAATTTTATTTTCTATACTGTGAAACTCTCCATAAAAATAGGTTCTTAATTATTCCCTGAAACATGTCATCATGTTCATTTCTTATACCATGCCATGGCATTATGCTAGGTTTTACTCATTGAATTCTCTCTCCTCTAATCAAGCACTTTTCATTGGTAATTTTTCACACTGAATCTCATCTCCTTCACAAGGAATAAACAAACTACTCTATTACACAAAATCTCTAAATTCTTATCATTTGTATCATCTAACTTTTGCCACATACATGCAATGTAAATACTGCTTTATATATGACAACTATCATAAATTTTATTTACCAAACTAACTTATTTACCTTAATAACTTCTCCTTAAAGATGAATATTCCTTTAAATATATATTATATAATTGTATTTTATATATAATTAGTTATTAATTATATACAATTAATATCAATGACTAAACCAGTAATTTATTTAAAAACATCGTGGACTAAGATAAATTTGTACAGGTGAATTCAAAAAAAGGTTCGGTGGTCCCAGTATGTCCTCCAAGGGTTCCAGCATCCATTTTTCTCTCTTAGCTTTCTTCTTTAATTCTGATAATTACATCATTTTATGCATCAGAAGTTATCTAATTGCTTATAGCAGTCAATTTCTTTCTTTCTTATTTTTCTGTTTTTTGGTTTAGGGCCACACCTAGCAATGCTCAGGGGTTACTCATGGCTCTACTTTCAGGAATTACTCCTGGCGGTGTTCAGGGGACCATATGGGATGCCACGGATCAAATTGAGGTCAACTGCATGCAAGGCAAGTGCCCTACCTGGCCCAGGAAGTGGATTTCTAACATTCACTTTAAACACCTTTTTCTCTTTTTTTTTCCTTCTGATTTCTTTTATTCCAGAAAGTACAAATATAAAAAGCATAAAATAAACATGTCTCAAAGTAAATTTCTTTGTAGAAATCTGCCTTTAATTTCCTTTACATTCTCAGTCCATTAGGTGGTAAAAGTGTTGACATACTCTGCCAGACTGTTATGTGCCAATTAACTGATAAAATGTTTTTTTTCTTAAAGAAAGATTAAAGTCATCTGAATTAGCTCACTAAATAGTAATTGATTTTCTTTTAACACTTGGTAAATACCTCAGCTGCTTTGTGAATTCGGATGGAGTGAGAGAGCTGAGCAGTGGCCATTATAGGACTATATCAGGATTCTTCTAATAAATTTAACCTGCAAAAAGAAGTGAATTAGAAATATGCTTATCTTTAGCACTTTAAATTTTCCTTTCTTATTATGTCCAAATATTGCATTATAAAATTCTAAAAACAAATAAAAAATTAAAAGTTAGGACCAGAAAGAGCACAAGAAGCAAGGAAACTTGTCTTGCAAGCAGCTGACTCTGGTGCCACATAAGGTCCCCAAGCACTGCCAGTGATCACTCTTGAGCATGTCAGGAGTGTTTCAACTGCTGCCAGGTATGTTTCAACCACCACCACCCACTCCCCCACCCCAAGCCCCCGCCCAAAAAATCCCAAAAATCTAAACAAAAATTAAGTCAGTTAAATATAGGCTGTTTTCCAGATTGCTCTGTTTGGAGAGAATTAACCAAGTTCAATTTTAAATAAGCAAAGAAAAATGAATATTAATATACATCTACCAGACCCTATATAAACTATAAAATTAACTTGATTGGAAGAATCCTTACTGGGAAATTTTCAAAAAACTATATAATTAATGTTATTTGCATTCTTTGAAAAATTCATTCAATAAACAACTTTATCCCCACTACTGATTTTACCAATCTGTAAATTTGACTTAGGATCTTTGGATTAATTTTTCTAACAACCCAGTGAAAAATTAAGTTAAGGATCACAGAAATGGCTCAGTGGCAAAGTAAGGTTGCGAGTTTAACTTCCCTTGTCCCCTGCCCGAGAATGGCTCCACACTCAGAGGAAGATTACAGCAGTACTGGTGTTTGAAATCTCCAATATAGAAGCAAAGTATGCAACCTCTTTGCATATGTGAGGCTCTTGGTTCAAACCATGGTACCACAAAAGAAAAACAAAACAAACTGTAATCACAGATGCACAGAAATAGTGTTTATACAAGCAACACAACTAAAATGTACCACCCTAGAGCTGTAACAAAAATGTGTGAGTACCGTAAACAAGTATTTACTTCCAGTGAGCTATGTGACCAAGTGTGTGATCCCTGGTTATCACAACAAACAACAATGATGGCAAGGGGGGAGATAAATAAAATTTGAGTTACTTGTTCCCAAATACATTTAGAGATAAAACGTAAATTTAACTACCCAAAAAGTCAAGAATATGTTTTACTCGTCTTTGTTATTTCTTTCAAGTGTTAATATTGCTCTGGATATAGTAGGGATTCAGAAACATTTATTTTTCTTTTTGGGGAGATTACATACAGCAGTGCACAGGTTTTACTCCGGGCTCTGTGCTCAGAGATCACTCCTGGTAGAACTCAGGGGACAATATATGGTGCCAGGGATTGAATCTGGGTTGGCTGCATGCAAGGCAAGTACCCTACCTACTGTACTATCTTTCCAGACTCTAATATACATTTCTTAAATTATTTCATGTGTAACTTATTCTCAAATTCAGCTCAAAAGTTAATGTAGGGGCTGGAGCAATAGCACAGCAAGTAGGGCGTTTGCCTTGCACGTGGCCAACCTGGGTTCGATTCCCAGCATCCCATATAGTCCCCTGAGCACCGCCAGGGGTGATTCCTGAGCACAGAACCAGGAGTTACCCCTGTGCATTGCTGGGTGTGACCCAAAAAGCAAAAAATAAAAAGTTAATGTATACACTTCATACCCATTAGGATGACGATTTAAAAAAGAAAAGAAAAAACATGGAACAAGTGTATAGCGTAGTCCTGGAACATGTGCCTTGTAGTGTATGAGGGACAGGCAGAACTACGAGCACCCAGGACAAAAAACAAAAGTTCATGAAAATGTGGAGAAAGTGGAACCTTTGTGCTCTGTTAGTGGGAATGTAAAATGGTAGCTTTTATGAAAAACAATATGGCAGCTTCTTAAAAAATGAAATGGGGAGGGGGCAGGGCCAAAGTGATCAAAAAGGAAATGTTCTGTGAGTGTTCCTATAGCATCAACAACAACAAAAAAATCCCGCAAAAATTGAATGGAACACAGGCCCCTGGAAAGAGTCTCAAGGAGAAAATTATCTGGAAAAAGTAGCTATAACCTCCTGGAAAGACTAAACTACAGGATGAAGAACTGCAGATAAGATCAGAGCTGAAGTGTGTTTCCACTGGGTTGTGGGAGGAGAAGAAGATGAAAGATAGAAGGGACCACAAGTCTGACAAACAGACACTGGGCCAAAAACACTGGGGCAAGAGGGTGCTGAACATAAAGAACTTACAGAACATCAGTTTTACACCAACATTAACTAAGTTAGTAAACATATTTGGGGCTGGTTTAGTCCACCACAGTGGCCTGCTGCTCCTGGGATGAGCAGAAAGCAGCCATTAGAAAGATGAACCATGACCGACTGATAGGGCTGCTGTCTCACCTCTGCACTGATAGACTGTGCAGACAGTTCACTACCTGAATTGGCCCCACCTAACCTGACATGCTTGTGCCAAGGAGCTGAGTATTTAGGCTTCTCACAGAATTCAGTTTTGCGCTGGAACTCAGGAGTCACAGTCTTGGGACTTGTTAAACCTAACTGATGATACGATTGCACCTAACTGGGACTAGGAGCAGCCATTACTGAGGTGAACCCACCCAGCAGGATCAGTTTTGGTTCTGTTGAGCAGAGGTCTCAGCTATGGCCCCAGAACAAAATACAATCTGACAGGCATTATAGCTTCAATAAGCTCAGAACCAGAGGAAGCTCCTCCAAAGTAGGCTTACAAAATGGAATCTCCAAATAAGTCAGAGGACACTGAGTGAAAAGGATCCAAAAAGGTTCGGTTTTTTTTTTATAAGCCTCTACCCACCATATCAGAAAAAATCTAGAAACAGGCAGTACCCAGCCCCTACAGAGTGTAGTTCTCCCCTGGGCCACAGCTGGAAGCAAACCTTTCCAAGAGAAACTAGGAGCTGCCATTGCAGAAGCAGCAGCTGATAGCAGACACTCCAGGGTAAGCTGCCCCCACTTTCCATTAGTTCATGATTTGGAGCAGCCATCCCCCAAATGCTATTAGTCAGTGCAAAAATCCACCAGAGCAACACGGATCAGCTTACTGAACAACGATTACTGGGTATACATGGTCACAAACTCCTATCGCTTCCCAAGTCAGGTGGACTGTGATGCTACAACTTCCAGACATCAGTCACGGCAAACTAGAGATAGCGCCCATGCCAGCTAGATCTTGGTGCTGTAAGGCACTGGTTCCACCAATCCCCTGTTGTCATCCAAATGCACACAAATCAGAACAGGCACCAGTTTGATCCTGTGAGCCTTTAAGAACTCCTCACTGCTGTATGTGATTCCAGGCACCACACCACACACACACACACACACACACACACACACACACACGCGCGCGCGCGCGCAAAGGGCTCCTCACAAGTTGCCAACCCATGTTCAATAACTGCATATGGTACCCCAAGTATCTCCAGGGTTCACTCCTGAACACAGAACAAGGAATGGCCCATGAGCACAACTGGGTATGACCCAAACTCTGCAGCCCCAAAAATAATTCTCCCTAGGCATCCATGGCTGCCAGAAATCAGTAGACTCATAGACATGAGCCTGGTACTGTGAATCGGAGCAGTGGTTAGCTGCTCAGACCATCTGGCACTTGAAGTTCAACCCTTAGTTACTACAAAACAGCAGATATAATGAAAAAATGAAGAAATTCTTCTTCCACATCAATGGATGGGGACAGAAGCCCTCAAGTATAGCAGAAATTTTCACGTTATCCACGGATGACTTCACACCAGCAATCCTCTTGATATTCACTGAGCTAAAGAAATGATTTGAAGAGAGACTCATTAAACTGGGGGGGGGGGAATTGATGTTAAGGCACTTGCCTAGCATGTAACGGACCTGGGTTTGTTCCCTGGCATTCCTAACCACATGAGGAGGGTTCCTGCGGGTAGAGCCAGGAGCACAACTTAAGCAGAGTCATATACCTCCTCCCCAGCCCTCCCTGCCCTCAAAATGAAGGAAAGTTAAGATAAATATCCCACTGTGGGAAGGTAAATATGTGCACAGATCCTGGAGACCCAAGAATACCAAACAAAGTTAATCCAAACAAAACACTACACTACCAAGGCATATTGTATTCAAAATGGCAAGAACTAAAGAGAGATGAAGTACCTGAAGTGACAAGACAGAACCAAAGCCTCAAATATAAGGAAAACAGCTTAAAACTTACATTAGATTTCTTAAATGAAACTACAATTAAGGAGGAAATGGAATGGTTTATTCAAAGTACTGAATAAAAAGAATCTCCAACTGAGAATCCTCTTTGCAGCGAAATGTAGAAAATCTCAATGAATAGACCAATATCCAGTAAGAAAATCAAAATAGTAATTTAAAAATCTACCCCAAAACAAAGGTGAGGGTACTTATTAAATTCTTGGCATGGCCCCTCAAGCACCAATAGGTATAGCTCTGGTGGCTCCAAATCACTGCCAGGGTAGCCCTATAACCCCTTAACACCCAAATTCATACTGCATAGCTATGCCACACACCAATTCCTCAGGCCTATATTACTAAGTGGTTCCTAAGCCCCTGAGCATCAACACTGTATATACCATTTATTTCATTCATTTTGGTTTCGAGGCCATATCTGGTGATGCTCAGGGATTACTCTTGGCTCTGCACTCAGGAATTATTCCTGGCAGTCATCAGGGGACCATATGGGTTGCTGAGGATCAAACCCCAGGTCAGCCGTGTGAAAGGTAAGTGTCCTACGTGCTGTACTATCTTTCCAGCCTACCTTTTATTTTTAAAAGATTAAAAAGGATTTAAGGCATTGCTTCTCAGCTCATGTGCAGCGGAGGTGTCAGCCAGGGGCTGCATTGAAAGTGGCTCCATGTCTCACACCATTTTACTAGTCCAGCCCACCAAGAGGCCAGAAGGCAGAACTTATGCTGACTATGAATCTGTGAATGAATGCTTGGAAGGTGTTTGTAAAATGTACGAAGAACATCTGCAGAGAATGAACCCCTCAGCCCCTCTGTCATATGTAA